ATGTTTTTTTCATTGTAAGTTATATTATATTTTTAGAGGTTTTGTTTGTGTGCATTTGTTCATTTTCAATTTTTTTATCCTGCCTTTCAGTACGTAGGAATAAATAAGGCAGCAGACAAAAACATACGAAGTTAATCAATACATCAAAATGTTCCAGTTCAAATTACACTATATTAGCATTTTAAAAACAGCATTTAACATTTAAAGAGCAATCACTGGAATCCTGTCTTGCTTCTGTGTATTTAAAAAGCCCTTAAAATGCCCACTGAAAAATGTCCACCTAAATCCAGCATTGAATCAGGCATACAGGAACAGCTTTGGTCACCCTGTGTGAAGACCTTTGCAGAGAAAGACAGGGAGAGGGCATCCCTGTTGGTTCTCCTGGACCTCTCAGCTGCTTTCAATACCATGGACTATGGTATCCTTTGGGAGTTGGAGGCACTGCTATGCAGTGGTTCCACCCCTGCTTGGCCAGCTGATTCCAGAAGGCTACGCTGGCGGAGTACAGATCTGTGCCATGGCAATTATGCCATGGAGTACCGTGGGGTTACATATTATCCCCCTTGGTGTTCAATATCTACATGACACCACTGGGAGAGGCCATCCGGAGATTTGGGCTGAAGGGTCCTCAGTATGCCGATGACCCTCAGTTCTACCTCTCCTTTTTATCTGATCCAGGCGTGGTTGTGACTATGTTGAACCAGTGTCTGAGCGAGGTGATGGGCAGATGAGGGCTGATAAATAGAAGCTTAATCTAGACAAGATGGAGGTGCTGTTTGTAGGTGGATCCTCTGTCCACATGGATGATATTCACCCTGTCCTGACAGGGCTGCACTCACCCTAAGGGTCAGAGTTCAGCGTTTAGGGGTGCTTTTGCACCTGGAGCTGTCCCTGGAATACCAGGTGAGCTCCATGGCCAGGAGCGCCTTTTATCAGTTTTGGCTGATTTATCAGCTTCGCGCCTATCTGGACTGGCAGAACCTGGCCACAGTGATCCATGCCCTGGTAATCCCTTGCTTGGACTACTGTCATGCACTTTATGTGGGGCTGTCCTTAAAAACATGAGCATGTTACAACAGTCTTATATCATCTGCTCTGGTTGCCACCTGAAGTCCAGGCCTGCTTTAAGGCCTGTCCAGGCCTGACACATAAAGCCCTGAATGGTTCAGACCTGGATATCTGAGGGAATATCTCCTGCCATAAATGCCTGCCCAGGCCCAGAGGTCCTTCTCCGGGAGACACCTGTAAAGGATATAAGGAAGGTGGCCACTAGGAGAAGGGCCTTTTTGGCTGTGATGCCATCTGTGGAACCAGCTTCTCAGAGAGGTGCGCCTGGCACCAACACTCTACTCTTTTGGGCAACAGGCTAAAATATTTTCACAGTATTTCAATTGTTGAAAATGTATATTTTATTTTGTGACATGTGGATTAATTATTTTAAGTATTATTTATTCATTCATTGTTGTTATTGGTTTCACATTCTGTTTGTTACTGTTACTGGTTATATATTTTTCTTAAATTGATCATGACTGTAAATTGTTCTTGGTTTTATATTATTGCAATGTTGGGCTTTGTTTTATATTTTAAATGTTTGTAAACCATCCAGAGAGCTGACTGGCTATAGGCACAGTATAGAAATGTTTCAAATAAATAAATACTTGCCTGAAGAAACCAGTGCATTTACGCATGCCTCGCTCTGTGTTGGCTTTATTTAGGTCCTATCTTGGCAATATTTCAAAAGGTGAGTAATAATAGGGCCATGCACACTTCCTTTGGCAGGGCACCCCAGTATCTCAGCAGCACCCATAAAAAAGTCCCATGGCTTCTGCCTACCTGCTGTAATTTCAGGATGGTCAAGTCTCCTTTTTACGGAAGACCATCTTCTGTTTAAAGGACTGCCACAGGATTGTCCCCTCTTTGAGGGAATGACCTGCCCAATTCTGGTTTAGCCACAGGCTCTGTTGCCCATTTATGATCCGCACCTGAACAGGTGGGCACACAGGTCACCTGGCATACCCTCCCATACTATTTATTTGTTTATTATTAAACTTCTATTCTGCTATATTGGCCCAAAGTCTCTCTAAGTGGATTACAATGCAATAAAAACACACCATAACAATAAAAACCATCAATCAAAAGACACAACAATAAACAAGAAAATCAGTGAAACAAACCAGTACACAGCTGAGGGATAACAACTTAAAACAGAAATACCAATAAAATTATCACATAGCATCAATTATTAAAATGATGCTAGAAAATAAAGTTGTTTTGCCTGGCTCCATAAGAAGGGCGCCTTCTTTTTCGCCACATTTCCCCTTTTTCACCAGTTCGGAAGTGGTTATATGCTTGAGAGCTCTTCGGGAGGGGTTCTGAAGCTGACCTCAAGGGATAAGCAGTCTCATTTGGGCAGAGAGGATTTTAAGATACCTGATGTTAGCTGGCTTAGGGCATTCCAAGTCAAAGCAGAACCTTGAATTGAGTGCAAAAGCATACTGAAAAATGTATCTAGTGACTCAAAAGGGTTTATCTTTAGCATAATAAATAAATAAACAAACAAACAATCAGTGCTGTACCACTGCACCAAAACCCACAAGAAACTCTCAAGGCTGCATCAAGCCATATATTCACATATCACAACATAACATTTGCTCATTCTGGGATTTTTGGAAGCTGATATTTACTGAGAGATATGTGCATTTGCCATATGGAATAGTCATGGAATGACAAGGAAAATCAACCGAGGACTGGCATCCGTTCACCAGCTGTATAGAAGGAGAGCATCTAGCAGCAGTCTTAGCTCATCACAGCACATTTAGCCACTTCTGCTGAAGTGCTTAAGGGGAAAACAACAATAGCAGCAGCAGCAACACCTTTCTTGAGTTAAAACTCCACTTCCAGAAGAGAGTAATCTTAGAGCAGGACTGTCTTTTTGCGGACAAGAAAAGGGAACCAGAAGCATCTGAGCTGGAGTGTAATTTAAACTCTGATAGCGCAGTCAAAGTATCTGCTCTTCCCCATTTTTATGGGCCTTGCTGAGAACACTGTGCGGCATGACATAACTTGTCACATAGCTACAACTCTGCGCGTAAGTTTGCTGCTGCTTTGGAGTGAAAGCTGGCATGCAGAAGAATAGCTCGGCTGAGTATCTTGTTTAACACTTGCTTAAAGTGAGGTGTTCGTGGTCAGAAGGGGATCTCCACAGACTCACATGATAAGTCGTGAAATGGCCAATGTTTCTTAATTCTCCCAGGAGCAGAAGTAAAATACTCCTAATAGGAGCCCTGAGAGTTCTGCTTTAAAAGAGGGACTCTTCTTGAAATCTTTTCTCTGCTGTTTTACTTAGTCATGTTCGAACAAAATGGGAACTAAAAATGAGTTTGGGGAATGTGTGGGTGTTTGCACTAACCTTTTTGCTCACCCTGAGAAGAGAAGAACAAAGGGAGATATGAGAGCACTTTTCGAATACTTGAAAGAGTGTCAAAAGAGGCAGGATCTTTTCTCAGTCACCCAGAGTGCAGGACACAGAATAATGGGCTTAAGTTGCAGGAAGCCAGAGTCTGGTTAGGCACCAGGAAAAACTTCCTGACTGTTAGAGCAGTACAGCAATGGAAGCAATTACCCAGGGAGATTGACAATGGAGACATTCAAGAGGCACCTGGACAGCCCTCTGTCAGGGACACTTTGACCTGGAGTCCTGTACTGAGCAGGGGGTTGAACTCAATGGCCTTATAGGCTCCTTCCCACTCTACTATGCTATGATTCCTTTTCTGATTATTGCCCTTTTCTTCAAGTAGTAATTAGAACAGGATATGAAGCAAGCAAGCAAGCAAGCAAGCAATTGTCCAGCATATTTGTTCTCTGTTCTGTACATCCCCAAGTAGCAGGGCATTCCAAGGGCAGGTGTTTGTGCAGTCAGTTTCCTTGTAAGAAGAGAAAATGTGTTGTGTATTTAGCGACAAATTATGGCAGTATAAGTGGCACTTTGGTTCATTTCAGGGGACAGATGAAGATCTCAGGGAGGGGGATTAGGGCTGGAATAGTGATGGAAGCAGGGTGGATGGGTTAAGAACTGGCTACCTCCAGATGTGAGGACCCATCAGCCGAGAGCCTCCTGATTGGATCTCACAGCAATAAGCTTCTATCAGATGTCACTTGCCAGTGGCCACCAGCCGCCATTTAAACTTTCCCACCGTGCCTAGGAACAAAGCTCAATCAAAGGCTTTGTGGGTAATTTGAAATGGCAGCTAAGACACCCAGGGCAGGGGAGCCCTGGCAGGGTGCTGGGGGGATGATTTATAAGCACCTAATGATGGAGGTGCTTAGGAGAATTTATAAGGAAGACTAGAATAAAGAGTTGATCCAGATGTGAGCAATTGTAAGAAGGCAAGCATTTGCTTTCTTGGTAAGTTTTATTAAAAGTAACTGTTGACAATAGGTCTTAAGGCTTAAGGAAGGCAAAAGAAGAGATAAGGGGTTGTTATAATTATTCTGTGTGTATTGGATGGTAATGTGATACAGGGAAAGCCTGTGTATCAGGACAAAAGAAGCAGTATGAACTAGAACCTTTACTAAAGAATTGGAAGTGGGGGTTTCAGCAGGTGCAGCTTTTCCAGCCTGTGCATAACAAGGTGCACCTGTTGATGCTTCATTTTGCACATCCCTCTCAAAAAGACAGGGAGCCCCTTCACACCTGGACACACTGCTTTCGCCAGAAGCCTTGCTTGTATCTGCCCATCCCTATAGCCATGTGCAGAAATGTTCAGAGCGTCTGAAGCTGTAAGACAATGCACCCGTTCTAAATAAAGAGGCGCTGCTGGGACGCAGCTGACATGGCATGCCCTGACACTTACTTCCAAGAGGAATGAGGTGGGGAGGGAACGGAAGGCAACTGCATTCCTAGATTATAACCAGAGAGCAGCAAAATAGTTCGGGGGTGGGGGGGGAGGAGGAGGAGGAGGAGGTGACGCGGCAGCAGCAGCAACTACTCCTCTCTTGGGAAGTATAAGTTGATTCTTCCCATCTGTTTCTGGTTTCATTGAAAGAAAAATGATTATCAATGATAACCGATGAAGATGATGATGACACTCAGGCATGAAATTATCTTCTCTTGCAGGAAGGCTGGCTTACCCAGCTAATTAACTGTGTGGTGTCACGGGCGCACGGCTTGTCTTTTGAGAGGGGCGAAGCTGCCTGCTGCCGAAACAGCAACGGAAACCTTCTGCCACCTGGGAGCAGAGCACACACCTGCTGCTCCCACCTGCCCTTCTGATGGGAAGACAAAGGTCAGGGGGAGAGGTGGGTGGTGGGATTGGGCCGGCCAGTGCTGAGCCAGCCAGCGGATAGCAAGCACACTGCTCCAGAGCGACTGTGGATTATCGGGAGGGAATTGTGCCTTTCCTACCTGGTGTTCAGGGGCACCAGCTCTGCCTCTTTATGTTGCACATGGGAAAGGAAGTGGGAAGAGCCAGTTGTGAGGCCACTCCAAGGCAAAGGGGATGCTTCTCACAGCAAGAGCAGAGCTGGAGAGAGGTCAGAATAAAGGAAAGGCTACTTACCCTGCACAATCCTGAACTATAATCTTGAAATTAATGGAACATTTTGTGTAGTCCTGACACATGCAGAGGCAGCCAGGTTGAAGAAAGCTGCTCTAGTAGACTGAATCTCATTGCTATCTATAGGATGAGGGATTTTCCAAACCGTACATTGGAGTTTAACTCTACTCATGGGAAGGGAGCCAGGGAGTATGGAGTCCCTGAATGCTGCAGGACTAGTAAATTGCCTTAAATTAGAAATGTAAACAAATGCAGAACAGAAATATATATTCAGGGGGGTTTTAATATTCTATTTAAGATGAAAACATAAAGCATAGCAGGCTGAATCCAGAGCAGGGCTGTGCATATGTGTCTGCCAAAGAAGAAGCCCTGTTCACATGAAGAAACAGGATAAAGGTCAATTGATTTGTGCACAGTGATCTTCAAAAGCCATATAATGTGGGACCAGCGATGGCCTGCAGCTTCTTAAGGATCATAGTTTTCAATGTTAAAGGGAGAGGGAGTATTCAAGCTGCTATCCCTCGTAGTGGAAATGCTTGAATATGCATGAAGCTCGTTGATGAAATATCCAGCACCAAAGGCCTTATTAGGTGCCATTTCAGTAAATTCACAGACAGGGCTAAAATCCCATATAACCACTTGCCCCTTCCTTTGGCCAGCAAGAGTGAATAATGTATGCAAAACAAAGGAAATATCATACACATTTGCACATTTAATAAAAGTCACAGAATTTGGCTTTTTCTTACTATGAAATCGAAGCTACCTGCTTGGCTTGGTATTTACATTACTGCTTCAGAGGACAGAACATGGATCTATGCAGTATTTAAGTGATCAGAGCAAACCTCAACATTGTCTCGGTGATCCATATAACAACATCGTAAGGCAGTTTTGCAGATTAGTGTTGACTGGGAAAGTCTTTCTGGCTTATAGTCTTAACCGGTACAGCAGTTCTTCTCTTCTTGCACCCTTGTCCCACAGTTCCCTGTGCATCAGCATTTATAATCCCCCAAACAGCTGCAGCTCAGCAGCTACACCGTTTTTTAATTTGAAAAGCACTTTGCAAGCTTTACTGTGTGTGGTCTGCAATCAGGCGAGATGGGACACTCTTATTCACATTTTAGAGATGGGGAAAAGAGGCTAAGCCGTGGTGCTATACTCAAGGCCTTTTACTAAAATCCACTATTGCAGAAAATCACATTGCTCCACCACCAACATCCAAATGGCCGTCCCCTAAATTATGCTGGGAAAGTGGGAGGCTGTTGCAGCAAGCGCTAATGGGGAAAAAATCCAGGTGTCATAACAACGTTCCCAAATTGGACAATGGGGGTTGTGATCCCATCCAATACATCTGCAAGGCACCAATTTGGGGAAGGCTGACTAAGGGAACTACAAAGTTTGCCTTCATGGAAACAGTTGCGTTTAAGTTGGCATGTAAACAATGGGGTAAAATGAATGGAATTCTGATAAAAGAAATAATGGGGACATTGCTGTTAACTACCATACAAAAAGGCTTCTGAATGCCGCTTATTGTGGGGGCATTCTGCTGTCTGCATGCATGTTTAAATCTCACTGATTTCAACTTAGAGCATAAGCACGTGCGTAGCCTTCCCACTGAAAGCAGCGGAGCGTAAGAGGTTCTGTACGTGAAGCTGCTATACCACCGTATCTACTTTCAATTCGGTGTGGAACTGAGATCTCATATGGAAGAACAGCACAAATGCACAAAAGGAACTTTTGCTTTCTTTCACTTTTTACAATTAAATATTGTCTTTCTCTTGCTCTTAAAAATGCCAAAGTCAGATACAGAAGTGAGACTGAAGGATCACAATGTCATATAAAGAACCCATGCACAACTATGAGTAGGGAATGACAACCGCCTGATAAATTTCTCATATAGAAAAGCACTAAGACTGTTGGGTGGCGCATACTTTCCTGAGGGTCATTTCTGAGCAGACCATCAGAGGAATGCACTGTAAAAGGACTTGACTTTACCCGAGTGTGTCTGGTGTCCCTGCCTTCATACTATCATTCACTGAATTTAGAAAGGAGTTTAACATCCTGAACTTTCAATCTCTTGTGTATGTGTGTGTTTGTATTATAAAGACATGTGTAGATATATCAGCACTCACACCTCTTTGTCCCATTGTACAGGTATTTAATGCTATTTCACCCATTTCAGTTTGTCCCTTCCCCAAAACTGAGAGTACAAAAACAATTGGCTTTCTAAAAGCACAGTCATATAGAGTCATCCAGGTACTTGATAGACATACAGAATTGAGTGTATCTATGGCTCGCAAGATTACCTTTGCAACAGATGCTGTTGCCAAGAAAAGCTAGTGGAGTGAAAATGAGTTCATGGGCTATTATTACACTCGTGTAGCTGTAGGATAAACAGCATCAACATGGGCCCTGAAAATGAAACAATTATTCCAGGTTGCTTGATTGGCTATGAAATGTTAATTCTTCTTAAGCCATGGAGCAAAAATGACTTATGAGGATAAATCTGTCAATTCCTAAGTTTGTAGTCTGTGCCTTGGTGGAGACTTGGCAGGGAAAGTAAATTATGGTTCACTAAGGATTAGAGTTTATGTTTTTCTTTCGGAGAGTTTTTTTTAGTGCCTTGTGGTTTTTCAAATGGAGTGAAACAGAAGGCTATTTCAAGCACCCCTGTTCATTACAAATTGGGTCCATGTGACGAAAGTACAGGTCAACATTCTCCCATAACCACTTTTTCTGTACAGGTTTATCATCAAGGAGAAGCTTCCAATAGATTCAAAATACATTCTGGTCCACCTTGGTTGGAACTAAAATTCAGTGGCACATCATTGGCCAATAAGTTCAACCACTGGGGGCATGCTTACAGCTGAATATTGTACCTATCTGTTTATGTATTGTATTTGTTACATTCCTCACTCTTTCCCCTTTCTCCCAAGGAACCATACATAATCCTCCTCCTCTTCATTTTATCCTCCCAGCAACACTGTGGGGCAGGTTAGGCTAAGAGTCAGTTGCCAAGCCAAAATCACCTAGTGAGCTTCATGGCCAAGGGGAGACTAGAAACAAGGTCGTTGAGCACTCAAACTGTTTTCCACTTAACTGCAATTTGTGGGTTATTAATGTGCAAATCACAGAAATCTAGCAGGAATGCGCACACTTCCGCCTGCATACTTGCTGCTTTCACGGTCAGCTGAAAGCCTATGATTATGCAATCCAGTCACTCAAGACTACTTGGGAGTGGAATAACCCAGAGTTAAACTATGATCTGCTGTTGGGTTAACTCTGGGTTGTTTAAGCCCTAAGCTAACCTAAGCCCATAGGTTGAATTATCAGTGGGTTTTTACCCTGTGGGAACTGGGTTCAGAATGAATTTCTTAAGTGGGAACCCTCTTCTATGCTTAGGAGCTCTCCATGCAGTAGAAAACCCTGATTCGGGTAGGTTTTCTGTTTTAAGTATGATGCTGATATATTGCTTTCTTACATGTTGGAAGTTGTAGTCTGTTGCTGGAGTATTCTGTTTGTGTTCCTAGATGAAGCTCTTTTGCCGAAAGGTGGCAGAAACCATAATGGACCCTCTCATAGGGTCAAATGCTTGCTGGCTGGTCCCCCAGCCCCAGCTGGTTATATAAGTACAGCTATCAGACAGGTCAGCATTAGCCAGCAGGGAGTGCCTGGCAGCAACATTCCTGAAACCCACTCCTGCTTTAACAGAATCCACAAGGGAATTTTTTGAACCCTTTTTAGAGCCCTGGGAGTGCAGGAATAACTTTTCCTACTGGTAGATCCTTTCTTTACAAGGATCTCCCTGCCTCTGCCAAAAAAAAGATTTCATGATAGGCTTCCAGTCAAGCTAGGTGGGTTGTTTTTGAGGCCTTCACCAAAGCACCTTCCCTTGAACCCAGTCCTAAAGAGAATATAAAAATAATGGTGTTTTGGATTTACTGGTCCCAGTGTGGAGAAGTCCCACCAGCCTACAAACGCACACACAAAACCCTTATGAAAATCCTCAAAAAAGAGTTTGATTATGAGGACTTTTCAGCATGGAAAAGTTTAGGATGAATTCCCTTTTAAAATGATATAGCCAAATATCCACACGTAAAAAGCTATGGTGGGTGGGAGAGCAGGGGATAAGGTCATACACACCCACAATTCCAAATAAAATTCAAAGGCCCGTCTAACTTATCTACTGACATGTTACCTACCTGAGCTGACTCTTATATTCCAGGGCATATACGGAGCCCATTTCAAACAGAATTAGCCGAGAAAGAATATCTTGGACCAGTTAGGTGGTTAATGGAAGACTCTAAAAAAGAGTGAGCAAAGTTGTACTTTTATGGGAAGATAAGTAAGTGAAAGCTGGCCCCTGAGGCTGACTATTGTTTTAACCAATAATGTCAGTAGCTTAGTGAAAAAAATAAGAAAATTACTTAGTGGTTAGACCCACTCTCCTAGCAATTCAAAATTTACATCTTTGCCTTTATAAGGCAGAAAACACAACACCACTGGGATGGCTTCTTTAACTCTATAATGTGTACGGATATGTACCTTAAAGATTCACATTTAAATTGTGAATGTATGCATCTGCAATACTATTGCCTGCCATTGGGCCTTTGAGACCACTAAAGTAGACTACACACTGAAATTGCAGTGGTGCACAAAAGACCTTTCAAAATATTCTATCCTATTTTTAGGCAGAGAAATTGGAGACAATTTCACTGAATTTCTCAAGGGGCAGAAGAAATTCCCCACTTAATTCTCAGGGGCTTTTATAATTTATTTGGAATTTCTTTCTTTTCTCTTTTATAATCTTACTTAATCACTGTGAGTTAGCCCCAGTTCTGTGTATATTTTTCTTTTTACTACACATCTCTCCATTGCTATTTTATTCTCCCAGGCTGCCTTGCACTTCTGATCTGAAAAGTTCTATGAGAGGAATAACCTCATGATGTCTTCCCCTGGGCAGGAAGTCAAGGAGATTACGGGCTGCCCTAGAAATGACTGCGCAAAGAAAGATGCTCACACACATGCCTCAGCCACTTCATAAGTAAGGTACGCACAAACCCCTGAACCAAACCCATGAGAATATCTGCAAACTACTTTCTCACTTGAATTTCTGTTCAAAAGTGGTCTCTTTTCTATCAAACTGAATAAGAATGGCCAAGAAATATGTCGGATAAATATTCAGCACAGCAGCAATCCAAAGACTAACACTTATTTAGCAATGAGACAGAAAGCCCAATCGGTCCGTTTTCATCTTCTACGTATTACTACATCATTGTCAGACCACACCAGAGAAGGAAGAAGACCCCTTATGCCTTCCCTCCGTTCCCCCATAATCTTCTCTCTACGGTTGCAGAATCTCCTGCCCTTTCTGTATGATCGTCTGTCTTCTGGGCAGTGTCCAAGAGGGCCCACATTCCATTCCTACCTGGAAGCAGGAGGAGGTCTTTGCTTCTGGATCAGGGCAGGTTTGTGGAGCTCCCTTATGCAATTGCACTAACTGATCCCACTCCAGAAGTGAGCATTTCTGTCCAGTTCTGGTTGATCCCAGAAACACTAAATCTGCACTGCACAAATAGTGGGTCTTGCTTGTGGAGCAGAGCAATCAGGGCACAATCAAAGCAGGAAGGGCACAGTGCCCTGTTAAATACATCCTTCTCTTGTGTCTTTATTTCTTTTTTGTAAACAAAACCAAGAAATGTTTCAGTAAAATGATTTGTTTTAAACACACGCTTATTATTGTTACCCCTTTGAAACAGTTCATTTCCCCTTCAAATTCGAGTGTGACAAATTCAAGTATGACAAGAGTCCCTTGGTTTTTAATGTCTTCGGTCAACTGAATGGACTCCCACACATTCTCCCTTCTCCTCAAACAGACATCTTGTTCACTCACTTTCTGACTCCTGCTGCCATCCTGAAATGGCTTCTCTCAGGCCTCTTGGAACTAAATGACTTTAGGACTCTCTTTAAATTACATCTCATAGTTAGGCTTGGTCAATCAAGGCAGAATGCAGCACCCACTTCGTCTCCAATCAGATCTTCCGCGTGTAATGCTTCACGTCTTCTAGACTATGAGTCATCCCAAAGGATACCTGCTAAGAATACTCACAACCATATGTGAGTCAAATATGATCTTCCTGTCAGACTGAAGCAGCTAAAAAAAACCACAAAAGAAAAACCCTTCATGCCTGGGCTGACAGGAACTTCCCTATTTTCTTCTACAAGTAATTTGATTACATTTTATGAGCTGACAGGGTGATCCTCTAAGTGCGCAGTAGCTGGGGGATGCGTTGCTAATAAAAGCACTGCTTGTGCTCTTTCCTTCTTTTTAAGCCTATTTTGTGGAAAGAGTTTGGCTCAGAAGCATTGAGGGCAAACCCAGATTGTCAGTCATTGATCCCTAATTAGTTTTCTGTATGGAACATATTTGTCTTATCTATATGTTAAAAAGATGCATATGTGATTCCTTATTTATTAAGGAAGGGCAGTTCCATAGCAGAATTCATACAAAACACCCCAGACAGAGTCCTGACATCTCCAGGTAAAGTTGGCAAAGAACCCTGGACAGAAACCCTGGCCTGTCATTGCAGCAAAAGCTGCATTCTTTCACCTGCTCATGTCAAAGACATTGGAGTAACATAGATGCTTTCAGTGAGGTGATCAATATTTATTTATTACAATACTGGTTACACTTATGGCTTTACCACTACAGAAATAAATTTCAGTGGGTTAAATGTTTATTGTTCTCTAGATAATCTTTACAATACAGCAGTCATGTAAGGCACAATTTACACAAGGAAATATGTATAAATCCTAATATGAGCTAAAGTTGGGAAAAAGGTATGTTCATGGCAATGCAGGTAGGCCGTATGTGAAGAATGGCTATTTGCTCACAGGGCTTTGGTTTTGCTTTACAGTGGATGCCTTTAAATATGAAAAAAGCCACCTCTGCATCTGAAAGTGTAGGAAAAGCAAGTCTGATTTTATCAGTGCATTAATTTGCTTAACAACTCCAGGTATCCTGGGCTGTTGCTGTTGGCAATGAATACTCTTAGCACCATTTGAAGATGCATTTCCTGCCAATTAGAGCTTTACATAAATGGTTTAGCTGCTTTGGAGAATACTCATAAAGGAATCTATATTTATGGTTGACTGCTGTTCGGATTCAGGGGCATGTGCACACACATTTATTTCTCTTAAAAGTTTATATTTCTCTTCCTGAGAAACATTGAGAATTACCTACTGGCACTTGTATAGGATTTCCAAGTGGTCTAAATGCTTTCATATACATTATCTAAGTAACCCTTACAACATCCTTGTAATGTAGACCAGCATTGCTGTTGTTGTTGCTAGTTGTGAAGTTGTGTCTGATCCATTGCAACTCCATGGACAACATTCCTCCAGGCCTTTCTGTCCTCCACCATCACCCGGAGTCCACTTAAGCTCACGCCGACTGCTTCAGTGACTCCATCTAGCCACCTCATCCTCTGCCGTCCCCTTCTTCTTTTGCCATCTATTGTTCCCAGCATCAGGCTCTTCTCCAGGGAGTCCTTCCTTCTCATTAGGTGGCCAAAGTATTTGAGTTTCATCTTCAGTATCTGGCCTTCTAAAGAGCAGTCAGGGTTGCAGACCCCATGGACAGGACCAAAAGATCAGCATTGCTATCCTCATATTGCTGGGATGGGGGAGAGAAGGAAGGCCTGAAACTGAGAACAGTCATTTGTTTAACATCCCCTGCAGAATGTTATGGTCCAGATGAGCTCTGAATGAAGGGGCTGTTCCCAATGAGTTCCAGTGCACATGGGACCCACCATGAATGCCACAGAAAGTAGTGCTTCCTAGAGGAACATTGCAGTATTTGTTTCTGGAAAGGGTCAGATCAACTTTTTTTCATGAGCTTTCCCATACTCCAGAAATGCATATTGCTGCCTTTTCCCAATGGTTTCAAGAACTGCTTGGTTCCCGCTGTACTAGCTGCAGGTCCTGCTACCACATGGGCAGTGTCACACAGTGCCTTAGAAATTTAACCGATTTTTCATGCTGTCAAGTCACAACATCACACAATCATGGTGCAGGGCTAAACCAAAATATACAGCAGTTCCAGAAGTGTCACTGTCTGCTACAGTTAATTTTATGGCTATTGTAAGCGGCAAAGCATTTTATCCAGTGTTAGTCCTGCTTAGAGTAGACATGAATAAGACTTTGGTTAGACCAACACTTTATACAACTGAATGTAGTTTACAGCATCACCCCTCAGACAACCCTACCTCTATTACTTTCCTTCTTACATACACGGTATTGAAACTGAAAGATAGCCCAGTGAAGAGAGTCTTTGCCTGCAGAAATGAGCCTGGAAGACTAGGATCCAAATTAGGCACCTAGGAAGATGACTTCTACTGAGTCAGACCACTGGTCCATCTACCCCAGTACTGTTGACACGGACTGGCAGTGAAGGGTTTGCCAGGGTTTCAGGCAGGCAGTGGACTTTCCCAGTCCTACCTGCTGATGGTAGGATTGGGTGGCAACACACTCCAGTATCCTTGCCATGAAAACCCCATGGACAGTACCAAAAGGCAAAAAGATATGACGCCAGAAGATGAGTCCCTCAGGTCGGAAGGTGTCCAGTCTGCTACTGGGGAAGAGCAGAGGGCACTAGTAGCATCAGAAAGAAAGAAGCGACTGGGTCAAAGCCAAAAGGACACTCAGTTGCTGATATATCTGGTGGTGAAAGGAGAGTCCGATGCTGTAAAGATCTACACTCCATAGGAACCTGGAATGTAAGATCCATGAATCAAGGCAAGCTGGATGTGGTCAAACAAGAGATGACGAGACTGAACATCGACATCTTAGGAATCAGTGAACTAAAATGGACAGGAATGGGTGAATTTAATTCAGATGACCATCAGGTATACTACTGCGGGCAAGAATCCCTCAGAAGAAATGGAGTAGCCCTCATAGTCAATAAAAGAGTAGGAAAAGCAGTATTGGGATACAATCTCCAAAACGACAGAATGACCTCAGTTCGACCCCAAGGCAAACCATTCAACATCACAGTAATCCAAGCCTATGCCCCAACCACTGGTGCTGAAGAGGCTGAAGCTGACTGGTCCATGAAGGCCTACAACACCTTCTAGAATTAACACCAAAAAATGATGTCCTTATCACCATGGGGGATTGGAATACTAAAGTAGGAAGCCAAAAGATAACCAGAATAACAGGCAAGTTTGACCTTGGAATACAAAATGAAGCAGGGCACAGGCTGCTAGAATTTTGTCAAAAGAATACGATGGTCATAGCAAACACTCTTTTCCAACAACCCAAGAGACAACTCTACACATGGACCTCACCAGATGGTCAACACAGAAATCAGATTGACTATGTGCTCTGCAGCCAAAGATGGAGAAGCTCTATACAGTCTGTAAAAACTAGACCAGGAGCTGACTGTGGCTTGTTGCAAAATTTAGGCTTAAATTGAAGAAAGTAGGAAAAAGCACTAGGCCACTCAGGTATGACCTAAATCATATCCCTGATGGATATACAGTAGAGGTTACAAATAGATTTAAGGAATTAGATCTGATAGACAGAGTGCCTGAAGAACTATGGATGGAGGTTCACAACATTGTACAAGAGGTAGCAACTAAAACCATCCCAAAGAAAAAGAAATGCAAGCTAGCAAAATGGCTGTCTGACGAAGCTTTACAAATAGCTGAGGAAAGAAGGGAAGTGAAAGGCAAGGGAGAAAGATACACCCAACTGAATGCAGAATTCCAGAGAATAGCTAGAAGAGATAAGAATGCCTTCTTAAATGAACAGTGTAAAAAAACAGAAGAAAACAATAGACTAGGGAGGACCAGAGATCTCTTCAAGAAAATTGGAGATATGAAGGGAACGTTTCATGCAAAGATGGGCATGATAAAGGACCAAAATGGCAGGGACCTAACAGAGGCAAAAGAGATTAAGAAGAGGTGGCAAGATTACACAGAGGAACTATACAAGAAAATGTTTAACGTCCCTGATAAGCACGATGGGGTGGTCACTGACCTCGAGCCA